AAACGTTACAATATATACCAGACCAAATTCAACAATTCATCTGTAATGGCAAATATCTGATTAAGGAGAAGTGGAGACTGCTTACTAAATCCCAAATTCATATTTTTGAGGAGAAAAAATGGCAAGAAAGCTGCCAACAGAATGTCTCTTTACAATATTTTCGTAACGTCCATACAAACCTCAGCCCAAGCATAATGTGGGAATTGGGTAGACAATTCCCAAAATGCACTTGGAATTTAGGCAATCTCATTCATTTATCCTTACCTGATGTATATGAAAAGAAGTGTAAAATGTGTGACACCATTATTATTACCAATGAGTTCATAATCGTGCATTACCTATTGCATTGCCAAAATACCAGAATTATCTGTGAGAGAGACAAACTTTTTAATTTGCTAGTCTCAATTTTAGACATAGATACTGGTGTCAAGCTGTTTTCTGCTGACACACATGTTTTTATTGATGCCATACTAGGAAGTCAGGCAGATGTTCTCCAACAATTAGATGACACATTTTGTAATTTTTTACTAACTATTGCAAATAAGCTGCAATTTGTGCAGCACTATTTCATGTAAATATTATTCTTACATTTCATGATTATTCCCTATTGTATAAAGTAACTGTATAATTGTAATTATTATGTTTGTTGCTCCGATTAATTTTCGGGAATAAAAGAAACAATAAACAATAAACAATATGCCCAGAAAGTACTCATGGTGAAAGATATGACCGTCTAAAATCACTTGCCATACTGCCCGTGGTCTTTTCAAATTTGTTTGAAACACTAGTTGGTTTCTATGGCATTTGTTCCCAAAATCACCTTTGTTGTGATAAAATAAAATGTCTTGTTTAAGGCAGGGTTATTAGAGTTGAGAGTCTATGACATCACTTCCTGAATGGAATCTTAAAAGATGGCAGCTTATGGAAAATGAGTACTTCATTTTTAAATGATCAATAGTGACCATATGAAAACATTTTCCAGTGTTTTGCTTAGTATGGAAAGTATATAAATGATTATAGCTACCATATCTGGAGTGAAATGGTATGGTAAGGAATATCCCTTTAAGATAAAACAATGTTTTTAGAGGAATAAACACTTTCAAATGAAGATGAACAAACTAAATTGACCTTTATTAAATATTAGTTTGTTACCATTCTCTTTTCTTCTGTTCTCACCTAAAGTAATGTAGTAATGTATGTAACTTTTTAAGATTAATTACACTATATTCTACA